CCCGGCTAACTTTTGTGGGTTTTTTTCTTTTTTTTTTGAGACAGAGTCTCACTCTGTCACCAGAACTGGAGTGCAGTGGCACGATCTCGGCTCACTGCAACCTCCGCCTCCCTATATCAAGCGGTTCTCCTGCCTCCGCTTCCCGAATAGCTGGAACTACAGGCGCTCGCCACTATGCCCAGCTAATTTTTGTATTTTTAGTAGAGATGGGGTTTCACCATATTGGCCAGTATGGTCTCGATCTCTTGACCTTATGATCTGCCCGCCTCGGCCTCCCAAAGTGCTGGGATTACAGGCATGAGCCACCATACCCAGCAATTTTTGTATTTTTTTAGTAGAGATGGGATTTCACCATGTTGGCCAGGCTGGTCTTGAACTCCTGACTTCAAGTGATATGCCCACCTTGGCCTCCCAAAGTGCTGGGATTACAGGTGTGAGCCACCATACCTGGGCAGGAGTCTGAATTCTAATCTGTCAGGAAACATGGAGCTTTTGCAAGCATATTAGGTAGCAATGAGGACAGCCATGCAGGTCCTCTGCCAGGCATCATACCCCTTTGCCCCATCTTTTTCCCACCCAGTATCCCCTTCTGGGAACCAAGTACTCAGCCTTCCTCTGGCTCACGTTGGGCAGTGGGTGCCAGGCTTCCCTGAGGCCGGAATGAAGCATCCACACGGGCACATATCCCAGAACTGAAGACAGAGCTGCCACAAGCACGAGACCAGAGAGGGGCACAGGCCTGGGGATGGGGAAAATAGTTACTCCCAGGCTTGGGAGGGCACCCTCAGAACATGCTCCCAGTTGAAGGAGGCATGAAGACCACTCCCTGACATTACCTACCTTGCTTTCTAGGTTTTTAACTCCTTGGCCCCTCCACACAGACCATTTTCCCTTACCACACTGCTCTTTTTTCTGTTATGGACCTTCAGAGACACTGCCACCACCCTTTCCTTAGCTCACCATGAATCCCCCATCACCATCTGTCTCTAACAGAGACATCCCCAGGTGCATATTCACAGCAGGATGAGATGAATTTCCCAGTTGGTAGTCACCTGGTTGGAAGGAGGCAGAAGAGAATGAGATCATGGTGTCATAGACAGGGTGCTTGAATTCATGTGATTTTGGAGGAGAATGAGCAGGGATTGGTATCAGATTGGGGACAGGGAGTATGTGGATTTTAGGGGTGAAAAAGCTGAGGTATAGGGAGTTGAAGCTTCTAGAGCATCAAGGTCAGGGGTTAGGAGAAGGGTCAGGCATCTTCTTACCTAAGTGGCTCTTGGCACATGGGGCATCGTGGGCCCCCCCTACAGGGCAGCGATAAACGTCCCCCCTCCGGTCGCCTGAAGGCCCATCCCAGGGGGCGCCCACCAGCATCCTGGGAAGAGGATGTGAATATAAGCATAGGGCGAACATGACCCTTGACATAGGCCAAAGGGAAAAAGCATGGAGGTGGCAAGTTTAGAGCCCCAGCCACTTTCAAAAGGCCAGATTAGTTTAGAGTCCCATCTATCTTGCCTCCCCTTTGTTAGCACTACTGCAGTCCCAGTCCCCTGGCACTCCAGTTTCTTCCTCACCATCGCTGTCCACCCCCAATATGTTGTAAGACACTGTATCCAAATTCAGCTTCTGGTGGCCCTGGGAATAGGCGTGGGTGATGTTCATCCAGGTTAAAGGGGGAGCAGAGACCTGTGGGGCCAGGATCATAAGGTTAGCACGAAGCAGTGAATGGCTAGAGGCACAGCCAGAGAGAAGCTGTGAGGGAGCATCTTAATCTCTGTCTGCCTGCTTTTTCACTCATAAGCTTTTCTGGCCTCTCTCAGTGTCTTGTGCTCAGAGCCCCAGGCAAAGATGATCCCCTTCCTGTGTTTGTGTCCAGATGCCTAACCTGTGGCCCTCTGCCATGCTGATGTACAGCTGTATTTCCATTCCCACCTCTGAAATTTCATTCACAGACATGTCTGAAAAGGTCAAGCTACTCTTTTCCACAACATTCCTCCCACACACACTCAACAAACTGTGAGGGTCAAAAGAGGGAGAGGCCCTTTCTGTATCCCCAGAACAACCATTGCTTCCAATTCTCCCCAAGATAGGGGGAATGAAAGGAAGCTAAGAAGCACCGCACGTCTGGCTCTCTCCTTCTCTATCTCTTCCTGACTCCCAGGGTCATTGTGACACTCGCACTGTCTTTTTCCAATGTCTAGGTCTCTGGTTGATTCCAGCCTTGGCAATCTCAGTGGTAATTAACTGGGTGGAGCCACCCGCCTGCCCACACAGTTTGCCATCCATCCTTGCCAAGGGTCCCATCACCCTGAAGTTTCCCACAACCTGCCTCCTTTTTAACTCATCTACTCTCCCAACTGCTCCCCCCTCCCCCACCGCCGACCTCCATGGTTTCCTCAGTCTTCAACCCACTCTAAAGGTGCCCGACCCTGGCTGATCTTCCCTTTTGACCCCAATGCCTTTAAAAATCAGAGCTGATATTTTAGGAAACAATGATTACAGGGCACTAGCAAGGAAAAATTCCAGGCCTCTTGTCCTTCCTATGGTCCTTTCCCCAACTATGTCTTGCTCTGTACTTCTAAGCAACCCCTCTCAGGCTACCCCCCACCATTACCAATGGCTGTAGCTTTATCCCAAACCATGCTCATTTTCAGAAAGGTGTTTTGTATGTGAGCAGTTCTGCATCCAGAAAACTGGCAGGGCTGTATGACTAGAAACTGCAGCTCATTGGTTAGATAAACCCAGAGTTCTGACCACATAGTTAGTCAGTTATGCCTCAGGCCCCAGGGACCACCAAGGGTAAGAAGTTAGGGAGGGGATAATAGGAATCAGACTAGCAATGGAAGGTCACATCACATTTCTTTTTTGTCTCCTTACTCCTATAGGGCTTAGGATGAAGATTTTATATATTTAGATACAAATCTCAGCCAAGCATGCTGGCTCATGCCTATAATCCCAGCACTCTCGGTGGCTGTGGAGGGCGGATTGCTTGAGTCCAGGAATTAAAGACCAGCCTGGCCAACATGGCAAAACTCTGTCTCTACAAAAAAAAAAAAAAAAAAAAATTAGCCAGGCGTAGTAGCATATGCCTATAGTCTCAGCTACTCAGGAGGGCAAGGTGGGAGGATCACCTCAGTCTGGGAGGTTGAGGCTAGAGTGAGCCATGATCATGGCACTGCACTCCAGCTTGAGTGACAGAGTGAGACCCTATCTCAAAAAAAAAAAAATTAGCTGGGTGTGGTGGCACGCACCTAGTGGTCCCGACTACTGAGCTATATGGTTGCACCGCTGCAGTCCAGCCTAGGCAACAAAGTAAGACTCTATCTTTAAAAAATAATAATTATAATGATTATTATTAGATACAAATCTTACACAAGGTCCTAGGCAGCTTTAGCCCCTGCCAGTCTCAATATTGAAACAGTCATATGTGAGGGCCTAAAAATGCACAAGGACACAGACACACACAACAAGAAATGTAGAACCAGTGTTCGCTTCCTAAATCCCAAAGAAATTTTAACTCTAATGGTCCCAATTCCAAACAATCTATGTATCTTCCATTCCCACCAGAAACCAAGAAGTTAATTTCCCTCACCTGTCAGGAACACCAGGGGCAAGAACAGGTGAGTGATGAGGGGGAGTTCCATGCCTGATCGGTTTCTGTCCGGTATGAGAAGTCCTCTGGCCTCTGTCTGTCCCTCTCCTTTTCTGTTTTCTTTACTTTCCCTCCCATCCTGCCCCCTCCCAATGGCAGCTAAAAATAAAGTTGGAAGGAATGGGAGGAGTGACGGTGGGGAACTGTGGGGAGCCCCAGACCAAGGAAAGGACTGAGCCATCTTAGTCTATTTCTCTGCCTTGGTGCTGCCCCCTGGAGGCCTCATCTCTATATCCAGAGAATATATTTTTTTGTTCATTTCTGCTATTTCTTTTTTTCTACTGTTTGTTGTTGCCAGGTCAATAATGCTTTCCTCAAATTTGGAACAGGAGTGGGAGATGGATTCTTTTTTATAAGAAAAGAATCTTAAACTTTTATCTAAAAGCTTTAGACAAATTATTTATATTGAGAATACAGACAGGGTTTCACTATGTTACCCAGGCTGGTCTTGAACTCCTGAACTCAAGGAACCCTCCCACCTCAGTCTCCCAAAGTGAGCCACTGCACCTGGCCGGGGATAGGAGATAGGTTCGGATTCTTTTTTTTTTTTTTTTTTTCCTTGTTAAGGCAGAGTCTCACTCTATCACCCAGGCTGCAGTGCAGTGGTGCAATCTTGGCTCACTACAATCTCTGTCTCCTGGGTTCAAGCATTTCTCATGCCTCAGCCTCCCAGGTAGCTAGGACTACAGGCACACGCCACCATGCCTGGCTAATTTTTGTATTTTTAGTAGAGGCAGGGTTTCACCATGTTGGCCAGGCTGGTCTTGAACTCCTGACCTTAAGTGATCCACCTGCCTCGGCCTCCCAAAGTGCTGGGATTACCGGCGTGAGCCACCACACCTGACTGATAGATTCTTTTTACTTCCTAACCTTATTTATCTCAACCTGGAATATGGAAAATGAAAGAGCTGACAGCAGTGGTATCATTTTCTCTACCCACCCAGGGGAGTCCCAACATGTGAAGATACAGCTCCAAATCCTTACCAGCCCCACACCACTGAGTTCTGTTCTTGGCTCTTAGCCTATGCTGTCATATGGCATTCTACTTCTTAGAGGGATTATATATCAACTGGTATGAGATGTGTTTTGTGGAGCCAGGACAATAACTTTAGTATTAGACCACCCCTCTGCCACCCCAACTCCTCAGCTAGGTTATCAACTTCTTAAAGTTGGGAGTGTGGAGCTTCTTAGATTTCTGGATGCCCACTAAGTATTTTGCTTTACATACTGTAGGTGCTCAATAAAAATAATGTGGGTGACATTAGTGGCTAATCCCAAGAAAAACCCAAACCACAGTGACAGGAATAGGGGCCTCAAATGACCAAAAAATGAGGGACCAGACTAAACGTTGATGAGCAAACTGAACTTTAATTTGCTTACCTGAAAGGCTTGCTCTTCATTATTGGCATAGGCCACAGCTATTTGCACAGAATCATTGTACAAGATTTACAGCAAGATGCTACACTAGGGAACAGACTAGGGAATAAAGCTCTGAAATCAAAGTGTAAGCAGAAATCTGAAGGTATGTGTACAAGGAAGGATAAGGGCCAAATCATGAGCGAGGCTGGTGAGGTAGACATGAGGGAGGAAGAGGAAACATCCAACCACTTGTGGTACAGAGATATGAGGGAAGAGTCCACTGGCACATAGTATTAAAAATTATGTTTGGAGTTTGAAGGAGGAAAAATCTGCCATAAGCCACCTCTGTGAGAAAAAAGAAGGCAGTTAGAACCTTATAGACCAAACCTTATACCTCCCCTACCAAAAAGTAATTCTGCTGATTAAATCCCTGGATAGAAGAATAAGAAGGTTAAAAAAAGAAAGAGAGAGAGAGATGCATAGACACAGAACCTTAAATAGACTTAACAGACACAAAGTAAATACATTCAAAAGAGACACAGACAAAGACAGAGGAAAAGAACAGAAGCTCAGGCACATCTAGAAATTAGAGACATCCTATTAACTTCACGAGTCACCTTTCCTTACCTCATCTTCCCCAAAGCTCTTCCTCCACCCCTAAATCTCTGAATTTCTAACTTTAACCAAAGAGTAGAATTCGAATGAGGCTGGTACATGGGGGACGATCTAAGATTCCATCTCACCAATTCAGGTCCCCTCCTTATCCTGTACCAGAAGGTCAGGGCTTGAGTCGTAGCCAGGGATAGATTAGGGTGAGAATAGACAGGATGGAGGACACGAGGCCACAAAGCCCCACAATCCCAGGGCCACAGTGCCAGAGGCCTAGTTTGTCCAGTGGAATGAAGAGATCACAGGCATTTCTGACCACATCTAGCAGAAGTGGGGGATGACCTCTAAGGACTCGAGCCAGGAGCAGGACTTGCAGCCGAAGTTTCAGAGCCAGCTGGGGCAGACCTCCTCCTGGAGTCCCTGGTCCCCCAAGTCCCCCAGTTTCACTTCCTCCGGGGACTCCTCCTCCGGAACCTTTCAGTCGCCGGCTACAAGCTGAAGACTCTTGCTCCATCAGTAGGCGAATCTCATAAGCATCACGGCTCAAATTCATGATGAGGGAAAACAAATAGTACCTGATACACAAAGCAAAAGGGTCAGTAAGGGCATGGATACCTACTTAACATATCCAACATCACATTTTCACATTTTCTTTTCCTGTAGCACAAAGAGATTACACATTAGATCATCAGAAGTAAAGTGAATGCTATTACCCCTATCAGAAATGTCCTCCCTTGAGGACACTATGCTAAGCAAAATAAGCCAGACACAGAAAGACAAATACTGCATAATCTCACTTATAGGTGGAAGCTAAAATAAGGCCGGGCGTGGTGGCTCATGCCTGTAATCCCAGCACTTTGGGAGGCCGATGCAGGTGGATTACCTGAGGTCAGGAGTTTGAGACCAGCCTGGTCAACATGGCAAAACCCGGTCCCTAATAAAAATACAAAAACTAGCCAGGTGTGGTGGCCAGCGCCTGTAATCCCAGTTACTCGGGAGGCTGAGGCATGAGAATTGCTTGAACCCAGGAAGCAGAGGTTACAGTGAGCCAAGATCTCACCACTGCACTTCGGCCTGGGCAACAAAGAAAGATTCTGTATCAAAAAAAAAAGGGCTAACTCATAGAGGCACAGAATAGAATGGGGGTTGCCAGGGGTTGGGGAGTGGGGGAAATGGGAAGATACTGGTCAAAGTGTACAAGTTCCAATTATGCAAGATGAATAAGTTCTGGAGATCTAATGTACAACATTGTGACCATAGTTAACAATACTGTATTGTATACTTGAAATTTGCCAGGAGGGTAGACCTTAAGTGTTCTCACCATAAAAGAAAAAAGGTAATTATGTGAGGTGATGGATATGTTAATTAGCTTGACTGTGGTGATCACGTCATAACATACATGTACAAACATCGAGCTATAACTCCTTAAATATATATAATTTATATTTGTCAATTATGTCCTAACAAAAATGAAGAAACAAAGTCCTCCCACCATTCTATAACTAGTACATGTTTATGTGCACCTTAAGATCCTGTTTTAAACTTCATGAGCATCATGAAATCTTCCAAGGTCAATCTCAAACTTCATTTTCCACTTGGCAACACACACACACACACACACACTCTCTCTCTCTCTCTCTCTCTCTCCCCCTCTCTACTTGACCTATAACAAGGCAAACTTGTTTTGAAAGGACAAATTTCAGTTGTTTCAGAGACTCAAACATATTAAAGGTGATCTAAATCCAATCCCTATTTCTTAAAAAAAAAAAAAGTGGCCCAGAGGTTTAAGTAATTGCCAAATGTGTTAAATTATAAATTTCTTCAGTAAAAAAATCCATGTTTTTTATTTGCAATCCAATCTGACAATGGTGGTCTGTACTCAATAACTTCGTCTACCTTCAAAGTATATCCTGAATCCAACCACATCTCTCTATCACACCCCACCGCCATACTCTAAGCCACTAACATCTCTTATCTGGACTTCTGCTTTAGTGTTTTAACTGGTCTCACTGTGGCCATTCTTTCCCCACCCCCAACAATCTATTTTCATATAGTAGCTAGCATAAACATAAATCACATCATTACTTCCCTTCTTAAAACGCTCCATGGTTGGCCAGGCGCAGTGGCTCATGCCTATAATTCCAGCACTTTGGGAGGCCGAGGCAGGCGGACCATGAGGTCAGGAGTTCAAGACCAGCCTGACCAACGTGGTGAAACCCTGTCTCTACCAAAAATATAAACATTAGCTGGGCATGGTGGCACGTGCCTGTAATCCCAGCTACTCAGGAGGCTGAGGCAGGAGAATTGCTTGAACCTAGGAGGTGGAGGTTGCAGTGAGCTGAGATTGTACCATTGCACTCCAGCCTGGGCAACAGAACAAGACTCCATCTCAAAAAAAAAAAAAAAGAAAAACAAATAAACAAACAAACAAAAAAACACAGCTTGTCATGGTTTTCTTCCTATCACATTCATAATAAAATATAAATACCTTAGAGAGGCTTACAGGACTCAACATCTGGTCCCTACCCCTCTAACTTTACCTTGTATCATTCTTTCCTTCAATCATTATGCTCTAACCATGTTGGTTTCTTTATACATTTTAATTTCATCATGCTTGTTCTTGCCTTAGGACCTTTGCACTACCTATTCCCTCTACCTGGAATATTCTCCCTCCAAAATCCTCACATAGCTAGTTCTTTCTTGCTTTTCAGGTATGAGCTTAAATATCACCTCTTCGGAGAGGCCTTCCCTTATCCCTAAATCTAAAGCACTGAATTAGTTACTCTCTACTCCATAACCCTGTTTTAATTTCCTGCATAACACTTGCCAGTATCTGATATTTTAATTTATTGTTTGTTTATGTTTATCTCATCCCATTACAAGGTAAGTTCCAGAGGAGCAGAGGCCTTGTTTGTCTTTAACCACTGTACCCCTGTATGTAGACTGATGCCTACCATACGGTAAGAGCTCAGTAAGTATCTGTTGGATGAAATGAATAAATATAACATATAGACTCCTTTAGGGAGTTGCTTTTCCATACTGCTCCAGCCATGCCTCTGCTCCCAACCCTCATACATCATAAGCCATGTTATAGTTGTAAATCACTGAGAAAGATGAAGGGAAAAGCAAGGTTAATATAACGAAAAAGTACAATCATAGGAAAACAAAAAACAAATACAGATAGTATGTTAGGGAATTTTACTCCCACATCGTATTTTTCTCTACCTTCATTGTCAGCTATCTCCTTTGTCCAAGCCAACGTCATCTCTTGCTCATATTAGGGCATCTCCTCCTCTCTTGTCCCACTGCAATCCATTTTCTTTTCTTTTTTTTTTTTTTTTTTTGAGATGGAGTCTTGCTTTTGTCACCTAGGCTGGAGTGCAATAGCACGATCACAGCTCACTGCAACCTCTGCCTCCCGGGTTCAAGCAAGTCTCCTGCATCAGCCTCCCGAGTAGCTGGGATTACAGGTGCCCGCCGCCACATCTGGGTAATTTTTGTAATTTTAGTACAGACGGGGTTTTGCCATGTTGGCCAGGCTGGTCTTGAACTCCTGACCTCGTGATCCCCCAACCTCGGCTTCCCAAAGTGCTGGGATTACAGGTGTGAGCCATTGCGCCTGGCCTGCAATCCATTTTCAACATCTCAGAAAGAGATGTCCTTTAAACACAATTTGAATCATGTAATTTCCCTGCTCAGAATCCTTCAATAATGTTCCATTGTAGGATAAAATAAAACAAGCATTAACTAAAAGGCCCTGTATGAAAGGTCTGGTGCCTGTCTACCTCTCAAATTTGAACTGATGGACTCAATACTGTCAATCACACTGGCTTTCTATTTCTCTAATTTCCTGAAGTCTTAGTTCAAAGCCTTACTTAGAATGTGCTGTTTTCTCTGTTTGGAAATGTCTTTTCTGCTACTGTTGGCTTTGTCTAACTCCTCCTATCCAGACATCAGGTCTGAACTAAAATATTGCTTTCTCAAAGAGTTTTTTCCCGATTTTTCAATCTAAATTAGCTCCCCTTGTGATATTCTTTCATAATACCGCATACTTTCCCACAAATATATATGAGAAGTTATTCATTGTAGTATCTAATTCCCCCACTAAACTGGAAGTTTCATGGGAGCAGGCACATCGGCACATTACCTGTTTAGCTCTTTGCTTTATCCCCTGCCCCACAGTAAGCATCTAATAAATATTTTCGGAATGAATGAGTAAGCAGGTAGTGAGGGGGAATAACCTGTGGTATAGAAGCACAATTAAAGTGATATAATATCTTACCTTGCACAATATTAGTCATTCATTATGGAAGATCATCTGTCTTCCATCTCCCCCCATTTGATATTCTCCAATAGTTTAAGATCTAACTGAAGACTGGAAGCCAAGTGACTGATCAAGACTTGAGTGGAAAGATCCTAAGAGATCTTTCCCTCATATAAGACAAGCTATGCAATATACAGACTACCAAAAAAAAAAAAAAAAACTCGAAGGAGAAAATGATATCAAACCTGAATGAACGCTGGGCCCACTTCTCCTGATCCACACGGGGAGCCAGTCCAGACTTTCCAGCCCACAGGACATTGTCACAGGCAAAGTACAAGGCTCGATTGAGGTGACTAACAGTGATGCAGAATCTCAGGACAACATCTGATAGGTGAACAGCTCTTTTGGCTGACTCAAGGGCATCTGCTGAGTTACCCAGGCGTAGAACTTGTGGAGATTAGAAAGGGAAAGCAAGGATTTGTAAGTAGAGAGGCAGATAGCAAGAAACAGAAACAGAGAAAGCAAGAAGGCAAAAGTTGAGCAATAATAATAACAATTTTTTTGAAGCACAGAAACAGGCTGGACGTGGTGGCTCAAGCCTGTAATTTCAGCACTTTGGGAGGCCGAGGTGGCTGCATCATCTGAGGTCAGGAGTTTGAGACCAGCCTGGCCAACATGGTGAAATCCCATCTCCACTAAAAATACAAAAATTAGCCTGGCATGGTGGTGGGCACCTGTAGTCCCAGCTGCTCAGGAGGCTGAGACAGGAGAATTGCCTGAACCTGGAGGCAGACGTTGCAGTGAGCCGAGATTGGGCCACTGCACTCCAACCTGGACGAGAGACTCTGTCTCAAAAAAAATAAAAGATAAAGAGCAGAAACACTTCATTTTTCAATTTCAAATTTAATTTTTGTGCCAGTTTAGTTTTCTCAAACTTGCCCCATTCTCTCCAGTCCTCCTAATTACTTCCGTACCCCTGCTCTCTTATCTCAACTTGACGCATGCAGAGGGTAAGTGCAGAGCCAAATGAGAAAGAACAGGTAGAGAGGGTACAGGAAGGAGGGACCAAGGAAGGAGAGCTGGGGATGGAGGAAGGGTTGGGGGATAAAAGGAAAGACAGAGTTACTTACGCTTTCTTCCAAGGCTCAGGTGGCCCTCCAGCTGTCGAATCTGTTTCTGTAACTCAGGACTGGCTCCATGCCTTTGCAGCGCATGGCCAAGAAGAGAGCAAGCATACTGGGCGGCCCTAGAGGAGAGGGCAGGCAAGGTAAGGTGGAGACCTCCCTTACCTTCCGCTCAAAATTATCCTCCAAAAGGCACAGACTTCCCCCTTTCCCAGTTTGAGACCACTCCCCTTCCTCCTCCATGTCCATATCTCACCATTTCTCCAGGTCAGAGGAAGGAAAAGGCGTAAGGAGAAAAAAGAGTCTAGAAAGGGGTGGGGAGCACTATTGGGTGGGGAGCACTATTGGGTGGGGAGCACTATTGAATGCTGAGCAAATAAGAGATTTGACAATGATGAGGCCTGAAGGGGCCAGTGCAGGCCGCAGGGGTCCATCACAAGCACATCAGCGTGAGCATGTATGTGATCGATGAGGGGAGGCAGACAGTTGGAGGGCATTTTATTCCTCAGAATAGGTGAACTAAGAGATTTCAAGGCCCTCTAGCTGAATGGAGACCAAACGCCAGGACGGACGCAGAGGAGTTCCCGAATGACAGCACGGTGTGGGGACATGGAAACTGGGAGTGCCTCCTCAGCTCTGGGGGCAGAGTCCAGGGCTATCCACCGTGGGGTGAATGCTCCTCATTCCATCACCGCTCAGTGAGAACACTGTCGGTCTTATGTGGACACAGCAACCCTGAGTGGCCTCCCCGCTGACCCACTCATGCCTCAGTTTCCCCATCTCTTCCGCGAGCGGAAAGGAATCATCTCCTCAACAGCGGTTCAAATCTGCACCTCACGGTCCGTTCGGGCCCCCGTAGCCAGAGTTGACCCTTCTTGACCCTCCTATAGCCTGAACTGACTTCGCCTCACTAGAGTCTTCCTCTGCCCATCCCTCCCCCGCCCCACCCCCATTCCTATTCGGGCCGCACCTACATAGCCGCTCCCGGGCTTGGCTCTGAGCACTGAAGCGGACCCAGGCGTCCATGACAGCGGTAGCCCAGGCTCCGCGGCCCCGCTCCCGCCCCACTTCCCGCCCCTAGTCACGCCTCCTGCGCGACCCAACGGTGCCTCGCGAGGGACAAACAATATCAGAAAAGAAAGCGAGTGGAGCTCGCCCTCGAAGCGGAATTTCAGGACGCGAAACGCGTGTCTTTTGAGCCTACATCTGCGTATTATTGTGTGTGTCTCTGTCCCAGGGTCTCCTTATCAGACGATCACCACTCCCTAGCACGCCTCCAGCGGCACATTCTTCTTTAAATATTCAGGACCAAGGGCGGGGCCTGCAGGGGTCGGGGCGGGGCGAGAAAGCGCCGCAGTGAACTCCACGCCTTGGAGGCCGGAATAGGTGTGCGCCCGGCAGAACATCCCAAATACACATGCACTCAGGCTCCGACTGAATCCAGGGCTGTAAGGGCTAAAGAGGTCTAGGGCAGTAAAGACCCGAAGCTCAGGCTGGTCTTTCCCAGGAAAAAGGAGCGTGACTGATACCAGATCTTCGTTCCCTGCAGAACCTTGACAGTTGGACAAGTGACCTCCTCCAGAACAGACGGAGAGTCTCCAGAAGCAGCGGCTTTAGTGAACGAAATTCGCAATAATCAGCTCCAGATCCTGAAAAGGTGGGCGAAGAATCAGTGGCCAAAGCTAAGCGCTTCATACCCACACTGCCTCGTCCTCAGTTTCTCTCCAGGCCACCATGTCTGCAGGCAACGGCACCCCTTGAGGGTCAGCAGCGGGGGAGGAGGCCTGGGCTGCATCGGGAGTGGCGGTGGAGGGCTCAGAGCTGCCCACCTTCTCGGCAGCAGCCAAGGTCCGAGTGGGAGTGACCATTGTGCTGTTTGTTTCTTCGGCTGGAGGGAACCTGGCCGTCCTGTGGTCAGCGACACGGCCGCAACCCAGCCAGCTCCGCCCCTCTCCGGTCAGGACACTCTTCGCCCATTTAGCAGCTGCCGACTTACTAGTCACTTTTGTGGTTATGCCCCTAGATGCCACCTGGAATATCACTGTTCAATGGCTGGCCGGGGACATCGCATGTCGGACACTCATGTTCCTGAAACTAATGGCCATGTATTCTGCAGCTTTCCTGCCTGTGGTCATTGGACTGGACCGCCAGGCAGCAGTACTCAACCCGCTTGGATCCCGTTCAGGTGTAAGGAAACTTCTGGGGGCAGCCTGGGGACTTAGTTTCCTGCTTGCCTTGCCCCAGGTGAGTGACCTAGGACTCAGGACCGGGCAGGACAGGGATTGGGTCTGTAGCATGAGTTAAAGGGTGCGCTCGGGGGCCATTAGCCATTAATTCTCGGGGAGTAAGCCCCTGCCTTTTTTTTTTTTTTTTTTTTTTTGCCGGCTCACTGCAACCTCCGCCTCCCGGGTTCAAGCAAGTCTTCTGCCTCAACCTCCCGAGAAGCTACAGGCGCCCGCTACCACGGCCGGCTAATTTTTGTATTTTTAGTAGAGGCGAGGTTTCACCATGTTGGCCAGGTGATCTCCATCTCTTGACCTCGTGATCCGCCCGCCTCAGCCTCCCAAAGTGCTGAGATTACAGGCATGAGGCACCCTGCCCGGCTACCTCTGCTCTCTTCTGTAAGATTATTTGCATGTTAATTTACATCTGTTAAGAGCCTGCCTTTTATAAGCAGTATCCTCTATTTGTGCCTCTTCCATTAGATCTGTTTTATTACACTTGGCTTCTGCATCTTTGCATCCTCCCAATCTCACCTCCTTCAGATTGGGGCAGGGAAGAAAAACAGAAAAACATACATGGGGGTCTATGAAGAGAGTGAAGTCAGTGGTTTGGGTAAAACTTTGTGGTACACTCATTTATCCATTCAAAAAGTAATATGCATCTCCAGGGCCACTCAAATTTTGCTAAGGATAGGGCAGCAAAATTCTGCCTTCAGGAAATGTATTGACTAGCGCAGGAAAAAAAGAAATTAGGCACTTACAATATAGTGTATTCAAAAGTGTTATGCTAAAGGACCTAAAGAAGACAATGGGGGTGGGGAGCAGAGAGGGGTGTCTGACACAGCTGTGCAGTCAGGAACAGCTTTCCAGATGTTAATGTTTGATTCTTCGCAGATAGGTGTTAGACCAATTAAAATAGGAGAAATGCTAGGGAAGATGGAGGATAGAGGATCTCAATGCCAATGCTGCTAAAGCTGAGGACTAGTTAATGGTGAGTAATGAGCTGAGAGGGGAAGAGCCAGCCAGATCACAAATAATAAAATTGTACTTTATCCTGAGTGCAGTGGAGAGACACTAAAGTAAAGAGAGTGACATAACCAAATTTGTGTTTTTTACTGACTTTATTGTCGAATGAGTGTTAAAATTGGAAAGAGGTGAGCAACTGAACCTGAGTACTAGGTTAATCAAATCTCAAAGCAAATCCAATACTGAAAAGGAACTAGAAATCTAGGTGGGGAAAAAAGCTAAATACAAAGCAATTCCTTCAAGGCAAACACCACTATCACTATCATGGGGTTGGGGGGCAGGATAGAGCAGCATCTCTGAGACTGTAGGATTAGAATTATGTCTCGAAGGAGGCCAAGAAGGGTCTAGGATTTGTTTCTGGAATGATAATATATTATACTGATTTAAGATTTGATCCTTACTTACATCCTCAATTATTAGAAATATAACTACTAGAAGTTAGTCTGACTATACTCCTAAGAACAAAGAAAGGCCTGGTGGCTCAAGCCTGTAATCCCAGCATTTTGGAAGGCCAAGGCGGGTGGATCACTTAAGGTCAGGAGTTCAAGACCAACCTGGCCAACATGATGAAACCCCATCTTTACTAAAAATACAAAAATTAGCCCGGTGTAGTGGTGAGCACCTGTAATCTCAACTATTCAGGAGGCTGAGGCACGAGAATTTCTTGAACCTGGGAGGTGGAGGCTGCAGTGAGCCAAGACTGCACTGCACTCTGGTGTGGGCGACAGAGCCAGACTCTGTCGGGGGGGATAAAAAGAGAAAAATAATACTTCTAATATGTTGCAAACAAGACCTTTACCAATCCGAGTGTTAAAAAGAAGCCTGTTGCTACAGTGCCATTTACAATTAGGTTTGTTTACATAAAGCAAATTTTACATGTGGACTGGGAATTAGAAGACTTTGTTTCAGTTTGCCTGTTTTACTTTGTTTTTTTTCTGAGTCTCGGGCTCTACTGCTAACTAGCTATATGATTTTGGCTAAGGCACTTGAAATCCATGGGCCACAAGATGATGCAATGGGAAATGAATTTCATCCTTTCTTATAGCCTGACAATCTGACAATATTTGCAATCTCTATTTGTTTCAATGGCAAACTGATTGTGACACGCATGATACTTGTGCAAAAGGTGAAATTTTTTGGTTCCAAATTAGTATCCTTGTGGGTAAATTCTGCCTTGCCCATATGCTGTAATTGTAGTTAAAATATTAGTGTTAATAAAATAAAAAATTTAATGTCACGTTAGTGTGGTAAGGGCTTAGGAGTCCTTAGGGATACTATTGGGGTGGTTAGAAATTACTTATTTTTGTAGGCTTTGACTTTTTTTTTTTTTTTGGAGAGAGTCTCGCTCTGTCACCCAGGCTGGAGTACAATGGCACAATCTCAGCTCACTGCAAGCTCCGCCTCGTGGGTTCACGCCATTCTCCTGCCTCAGCCTCCTGGAGTTCCCCAGTAGCTAGGATGACAGGCGCCTGCCACCATGCCCGGCTAATTTTTTGTATCTTTAGTACAGACAGGGTTTCACCGTATTAGCCAGGATGGTCTCGATCTCCTGACCTTGTGATCAGCCCGCCTCAGCCTCCCAAAGTGCTGGGATTACAGGCATGAGCCACCGCGCCCAGCCAGCTTTGACTATTTTTATACTCCTCACGATTCTCACGTACTTCTTAGGCATAGCACAAAAACAAAAACAAATTATAAATATATGAATGCAAGAGATGGGAAGAGGAAAGAACATTTTCCAACTAGCTCAGAGTAGCCTGATCGTAACTCCAAACAGTTCTCAAAATTCTGTCTTATGCTGAAACTATTCGTCTTTCCTAAATGTCCCTCATGTCTGCTAAAATCACTGTCCCAAATGCCTTGTATCTAGGAATCTGATACCTACTGAGCTTACCTTTTATCAAATTAATAGTGACAGTCTGCATTACTGGAACCCAGGCACTTTAACCTTGTAGTTCTAAACGGAAATAGTTTTTACTGATTCAGCTGGAAAACCCAGCAATTTAACAAAAAGGGGGAGGGGCAGCCCAACAGCATTTGGAGAATGTTAAATTTTATTATTTAACATTCTTTACCATTATAGTTACTGCACATAAGACTATTACTACTAAAGGTCACTTCAGAGTCACTGCAAAATGGCCTGGAATTTTGGCAGCACCCATTTTACACAGTTTTTCTTTTTCCACAAAATAACAGACATACCAGGAAAATCATTTCAGCTAAAAATATGAGTGAGGTGGTAGAAATATCATCCCTTATAAAGCGCAGTGTTAGAATAGTACTTGAGAAGGTGGGATTGTTTTAAGTTCTGAGATTTAACAAACTCACTGCTCAACATCATATTCAAGCCTAAAAGGAAGACAGGATTTTCAAGACATATTTCCAACCTCTTTAACATGGCACCATGGATGAACTGTTTTTCAGCACTGTGCTGCTTCACTTGGAATTAAGGATGAATTGGGAGGAGACAGTATGACATAGGTGGGTAGGCTGAGTGGTGAGGGGAACCAGTTCTAATAGTCCTGAACTCCACTCCAGCTGTTCCTGTTCCATACCGTCCACCGAGCTGGCCCAGTCCCTTTCACTCAGTGTGTCACCAAAGGCAGCTTCAAGGCTCGATGGCAAGAGACCACCTATAACCTCTTCACCTTCTGCTGCCTCTTTCTGCTGCCACTGACTGCCATGGCCATCTGCTATAGCCGCATTGTCCTCAGTGTGTCCAGCCCTCAGACAAGGAAGGGGAGCCATGGTGAGACTCCAATTCCCAGGCCTTAATCCTTAACCCTAGACCTGTTGCCTCTAGCATCATTTATCTACCTACCTAATAGCTATCTACCAGTCACTCAACTGTGGTGAGATCCTAACCATATGTCTAGCACCTGATGCTAATTTTGTTGAATCCTTTCAATTATAAACAGCTGAGTTAGCTAGACAAGGACTAGGGAGGCAATCAGTATTATTTATTCTTGAACACCATCAAGTCTTAAAGTAGACTGGGTGGCTTCACATTTCTATCA